CGACGATGGCGGTGACGAGCCAATGAGATGTGCAAAGTGATTAGACTTCTGCGTAGCCAATAAGAAGTGTGCCTCAGTGTGACGGAAGGTGGCTATAAGAATGGGGCAGTGAGTCACGCGATGCTATCACGCTTGAATCGGTTGTTGGTTTGCTTAGCGAGGAGGGCAATGAGTGGCAGAGGCAAAGGAGGTAAATCGCGGGCTAAAGCGAAGACGAGGTCGGCGCGAGCTGATCTGCAGTTCCCCATGGGTCGTGTGCACCGTCTGTTGCGTCGTGGCAACTACGCGGAGCGTGTGGGTGGGTGTTGGAGCACCGGTCTACTTGGCTGCTGTGCTCGAGTACCTGGCTGCCGAGGTGCTGGAGTTGGCGCGTATCATTCCTCGTCACCTGCTATTGGTTGGCTATCCGCAATGACGAAGAGTTGAACAAGCTGTTGGGCGGTGTGACCATCGCGCAAGGTGGTGTGCTGCTGCCCATCATCCAGGCGGTGCTGCTGCCGAAGAAGACGGAGAAGCCGGTGGTGAGCAAAGAGTAGGCTGGCCTGCCACCTGACTGACTGACCGGGTTTGCAACCGTAAACGTGATGACGGCCCTGTTGAGGGCCACCCCTATCATTACCACAAAGATGATTGTTGACCATTTGATGTGGGTGGGCATGGACTGACGACTGATTGACCGACCGACCGACCGGCTGAAAGTTGCGTGTTGACAGCCTGCGTTACTGCTTTGGGTGTAGGGGCTGTAGGGTTGGCCTTTGGTGCTGTGGTGTCATGCCATGTTAGTGATGAGTGGAGTGCGATGCTTTCGTTCCGTATCTTTAATGCACTCTTGAGGCTGTCCGCCGACTGCTAGTTGGGCAGGTGTTCATGGCACAAAAATTTTACACTACACGTTGAATATTTCTGAGTATAATTGGCAGCCATATCCATCTGTGTTGATGCTGCTGCGCAGCAAACGCGCGAATGGCGGATGGAACGCAGGAGGTGAACAGGAACGTGCGGTGGGTTGTGGAAAGGATGTATGGCATTCCGATTACATGGATTCATTTGAGCGCCGCCCACTTACCAACAGGGCACATCCACATCGCCTCAACCCTTCATTGACGCCTTCCAGTGAGAGCGCCGAAAGCACCGAAACCACACAACCTACCACAAAGCCTACTTTCCTCCCTTAACACCGTTGACTCAAACATCACAATCATCGCAATCACCCAACCACCCCCACACGCATTCCCACATCCCGTCCCCTTCCCTTCCTTATTCCTGCACTTAGAGCACCGCAAACACCAATCCTAAAGCCTGGTGGCTTTCGCAAAAACTTGGTAACTTTAGCACATTCGCACTTTACTGGCCACAACTTATTCAGCTCCACATGTTGTTTATTACAATTTCACCTTAACTACTGTAAAAGAACCCGTATATTCCTTAGTAAATTGGTCTGTATGCGCTGTGGCTTTATGGACTCGGCGAACAAAGATCTAGTAGCTGTTTCGCATTTATTAGATACAAATGGCTTTTTGATATCCCCTCTTACCAATATTGTACAAATATTCTGCAAG